CAGAAGTTTGAGACAAGCCTGGCCAACATGGCAAAACTCTGTCTCTACTAAAAATACAAAAATAAGCCAGGCAGGGTGGCACATGCCTGTAATCCAGCTACTTGAAAGGCTGAGGCAGGAAAATAACTTGAACCCGGGAAGCAGAGGTTGCAGTGTGTCAAGATCGAGCCACTACACTCCAGCCTGGGCAACAGAGTGAGACTCTGTCTCATACACAAGAAAAAAGAAAAAAAAAAGAATTTTTAAATTTCATGGAATTTTTATTTTCAGTTCTTACCATACTCTTTGCATTTGAAAAAGTTAGAATTTAAAACCTTTAATATAATATTTTCATCTTATATATTCTTGACCTAACAACATCATAAGTGGAGACTGAGGCCAGGTTAACCTATTTGAATGTTAAAAATTATAAAATGAAAAATATGCACAATACAAAAGTAACCAGCCCTTACGATGGTCTAAAACTTGTCACACAAGAATGAAATGTCCAGTTATTAGGCTCTCAAATAGCTAGGTAAGAAAATATACACTTTTGGTCAAACTCTCCTGGCAATTTAGACACTCAGTTGTCTGTTTATTCTTTTTCTTTTTTTCTTTTTTCAGACAGTCTCTCGCTCTGTGGCCAGGATGGAGTGCAGTGGCACAATCTCAGCTCACTGCAACTTCTGCCTCCCAGGTTCAAGCAATTTTCCTGCCTTAGCCTCCTGAGTAGCTGGGACTACAGGCACCTGCCACCACCCTCAGCTAATTTTTGTATTTTTAGTAAAGATGAGATTTCACCATGTTAACTAGGGTCATCTCAGTCTCTTGACCTCATGATCCACCCACTTTGGCCTCCCGAAGTGCTGGGATTACAGGCATAAGCCACTGTGCCCAACTGTCTGTTTATTCTAAATAGCAAAGAGAACAGAGCTGGCACATACTCATCTATCTGTTAGTGGATGTCCATTGCCATTTCAATCCAATCTGCCTGAGACCTTTTTTGAGTTAGCTATGAAATTATCAGTCTATGATCTAGATTTTTTTTGCTTTGTTGCATTATAAATTTTATTTTTTTCTCTATTAAGTATAAGAGAACCTTGGTGATGTAATACACCAATAAAGGAATTTACATTTGTAAATGTATCTATCGGCTTGATATGGTTTGACTGTGTCCCCACCCAAATCTCATCTTGAATTCCCACATGCTACAGGAGAGAGATATGGGAGGTAATTGAATCATGGGGTCAGGTCTTCCCCATGCTGTTCTCGTGATAGTGAATGCATCTCATGAGATCTGATGGTTTTTTAAATGGAAGTTTCCCTACACAAGCTCTCTTTTTGCTGCCACCAGCCCCTTCAGATGTGACCTGCTCCTCCTTGCCTTCTGCTATGATTGTGAGACTTCTCCAGCCACATGTAACTGTGAGATCTCCATTAAACATCTTTCCTTTGTAAATTCCCCAGTGTTGGGTATGTCTTTATCAGCAACTGTAGACCAAAAGTTGGCAAACTCACTCCCCACAGGCCAAATCTGCTCCACTACCTGTTCTTATGAATAAAGTTTTATTGGCAGACAGCTACAGCCATTTGTATTTGTATTTACATTATCCATGGCTTCTTTTGAGCCACAAGGACAAAGTTGAATACTGTGACATAAGCTATATGACCCACAAAGCCTAAATTGTTACTAAGTGGCCCTTTACATAAAAAATATGCTGACCCCTTTCTAGGACAAGCTAAGGAAATGAATTAAAATAACCAATAACAACCAATTGGTGATCTGATCCCTGTAATTTACAACTTAACTAGGCACCTCCCAGTGCCAGGCACACTGGGAGGCATGCTAAGTTCATCCATTCCTTGGACAAGGAAGGAACTGCTGTGTCCCTTTCATAGATGGGGAGACTAAGACTCAGAGCCCTAGGTCACAGAACCAGCAGGCAGCAGAAGGACCCTCATCGTGGCTCCTTCCTCTCCTCCTCCTCCTCCTCTCCCCACACTGCCCAGCCAGGCCTGGTAGATGAGGCAGGACTGAGTGTAAACAGTGCACAAAGCGGGCAATCAAGGCTCGGGGAGGTAAGGGCAGCTGTCAGAGGCCAGTGGGTGCCTGAAACAAGGGAAACCAGCTGCCTCAGCCATGAGCTCTCCCCCTTGTCCCTGAAGACAGAGGCTTTTTCTGAATTTGGTGACTCAGTGGAAAGCAGCCGGGGCCATTTCTTTCTCCTCAGTTTAAGTTTTTTACTTAAAATTTAATTTACTCTCTTTCTCTAGTTTCCTATCACAAAAACTAAAAAAACTCAGTCTTTTTTCCTTTTATATATATATATATTGAATGCTATAAATGTTTCTTTAAGCACTGCTATTGTGGCATCCTACAAATTTTGATACATCATATTTCCATTTTCTCATTTAGTTCAAAATATTTTTATTTCCTTTGAGACTTCTTTGACCCAAGTGTTATTTAAAAGGAGTTGTTTAATATCCAAATATTGTGGTATTTTCAGCTATATTTCTGTTACTTACATTTAGCTTAATTCTTTTGTGTCTGAGAATATATTTGTATGATTTCTGTTATTAAAAATTTGATAAGGTATGTTTTACGGTCCAGGATATGGCCTATCTTATGAATGTTCCATGTAAGCTTGAGAGGAACATGTGTTCTCCATTGTTGGAGGAATTATTTTATAAATGCCAATTAGATAAAGTTAACTGATGGTGCTGCTCAGTTCATCTATATCCTTAATCATTTTCGGCCTGCTGGATATATTGATTATTGATAGAGGGATGTTGACATCTGTATTATAACATATTTATCTATTTCTCCATGTAGTTCTATTAGTTTTGCCTCATGTATTTTGACTCTCTGTTGTTAGGCTCATACACATTTAGAATTCTTATGCCTTCTTGTAGACTGATTCCTTCATAATTTTATAATACCTATCTTAATCTCAAACAATATTTCTTGCTCTAAAATATTCTCTGTCTAGAATTAACATAGCTACTCCAGCTTTCTTTAGATTACTGTTAGCATGGTACATCTTTCTTCCTTCATTATTTTTTTTCATCCAGCTTTATTGAGGTATAATTGACAAATTGTGTACACCTAAGTTTTACAATATGATGTTTTGAGGTATGTATGCATTGCAAAATAATTAACACATGTTAAATTAATTGAGCTAATTAACATCAATCACCTCACATTGCTACTCCAATTCATTTACTTTTAATGCATCTCTGCCTTTATATTTGAGTAGGTTTTTTGTAGACAATATATAGTTGAGTCTTATTCCTGTCTACTCTGATAGTCTCTGTTGAACCCAGGAATGGTTGAGCAAGGGCATCTAAAACTATCTCAAAGCTTTTCTAACATTTTTAAGTCACCTTTTTCTTGCTTCAGCCTTTTTTTTTTTTTTTTGGTTGCTTTATATCTTTGACTAGTTTCCAGAGTTCTAATAAAATTAAGACAGTTTTTGCTTTCTGTTTTTGATGTTTCTCTATAGGAATAGTTACTGGAGCTACCTACTCTGCCATTTTATTTGACATCTGTCAGCTATTTTAATATTTTATTGGCTTTTCAATTAATCTCCTTTAAAAAATTCAATTCTAGTATTTTAATCTAATCTGCTAATTTCTGATTTTGTATTTAGTCAGTTTATCCCCCTTATTTTGTTGCTTTATTTATTTTTTTAATAATTTAGACCTGGATGTAGAGATAACTTATTTTCTTTCTTTAAAAGCAAAGTTGTCTAATACTATGTATTTTATCTGAGCATAAGGTTAGCCGTATACTCAAGGTTTTTAAATGTAGTAGCCTTATTATTATTTTTAAAGACACTATAATTGTAGTTTTTATTCTCTATTTGTTTGATGTAAGACTGGTTATATTTACTTGAAATATTTCAGTGCCATAGATATGAAAGTTTATGAGTGCCTTTACTGTGGCTTGCACTGTTTACCATTATAAACGCCATTTTTAAGCTCCAGTGATTTTTGTTTTGATTCTAATTTGTTCAATATTATAGTCCTGCTTTCTCTTGTCTGTGTTGTCGTGATATATCTCATTTCTTTATTTCCAAAAAATATTTCTTTTTAGGGATACTCTAGCAAACACAAATTGGTTGAATTTTGTTGCCTTTTTTTCTCACTCTGATAGTGTTTATCTTTTTGTTTAAAAGGTTAACTCATCCACATTTTTGTGTTAATTGATTTTTAATTATTTTGTTGTCACTATGTGTCTGTGTGTGTATCTTTATGAACCTGCTCTTATTTCTTTTATTTTCTTTGTTGTATTTTTCTTTATCACATTTTAAGTTTATTTTTATGTTGATATTTCAGAATTTATTCATAATATTTTAGTCTATATATTGTTTAAAAATTATGCCTTTATTTTGGTGCCAACTTCAAGAATTATGTGGAACTTATTGAATCCTCCTATCCCTGAATGAGACAATTATGTGAGCACATGTTCCTTTTTATTTTTCATATTTTGTCCAAACAGTACATAATGTTGGTTATGCATATCTCAATTTTTAAATTATGACGATTCTGTTTTAAAAATGTACTCGTAATGTTTGCATTAAGCATCACAGTCATGTTAACAACTAATGACAATTATTTACAATAAACAGTAAGCTTTACTGGGCTTGTTTGTCACAACTTTTATTCTTGATCACACTTCTAGGTGTGTTCTTATCACTTTTCTTATTTTTTTGGAAATATGAGATTAACATAATATTCTGTACCTCATGGGAATACAGACATGTATCTTTGCTAGATGTCAGCAATGTTTGGACAGTGTTTAAATGTGAATGCTTTTGGCCTGGCCATCCTCCCTGGTTCACCTCAATCCTGATCGCTCCTTCCTTCCTGTTTGATATAGTTTCTTGCATAACAGTTTGTGTTTATAAATTCTCTTTCCTAGACCCCATACAATTTTTAATATCCAAGTGTTTAAAATGTGATTCTGTGTTCTTACATTGAGTTAACACCCTGGCTTATGCCTTTTCTCTTGGACTTAGGCTTTGGAAGATCGGGTGTGGGAACTCTTGAAGGAGGCAGACAAGACAGCTGAAGAGAACAAGGATCAGAGTCAGGTCTATGATGCCATGGCTGAGACTCTGGGTGAAGCATGGGCTGCCCTGGTCTCCATGCTTGAAAGAAGAACGGATCTCCTTAGGTTGACTTCTGAATTTTTTGAAAATGCTTTAGAGGTTTGTGCTTTAAAAAACTTCCCCCTTCCCCCAATCAGAGCAAATGAATAGCACTCCTGAAAATGTTTGTTTTTCCACAAATAGACATTGGAATCAGTTAAAAAATATTGGCAGAATAACCAAGACATACATACACAATATATTTATTTTTTGATTGTCAAAAGTAAATTTATTACTATTTTAGGAGTAGGTCTTCAAACAAAAACAAAGTACAGTTAATTAATTAAAATGTGGTAAAATATTAAGTAATAATAGGAACTCTCATAAGTTATTATGATTTATTTCCCTATATATAGAAGGTAGTAATATAGTTACTAAATCAAATAATTACCCTGATTGTAGGATTACTAAGGACTGCTGGTCTAGAGTGTTATTTTTGGCTAAAAGTTGGACAATAAAATTTCCTTTTGCTGCCTGTGTTTTAAAAAAGCAATTATAGAATATTCCATAGATGATTTGACTCATAAATGTAACATTTTATGAGTACTTTCCTAAGGCATATAGTTGATTTTCCATAGTTTGAACACCTTAAAATACAAGAGAAGGAAAAAGTCCTTCTGGCCCTAAGAAGGCCATATCTCATATCTCCTTGTGATTTTTCTCGAATTCTACAATTTTTTGAGGTCTCTAATTTCAAAATGTGAGTTTCAAAGAATATTATCAAAAGAGGTGTTATATTTGGTATAAGGCCATTATTGGAAATTTCACTTTTAACTTCTCTGCCAAGTGGCAGCCCATTCATTTTGATGTGAGAGTGCTGCTTCCTTATGATAAAGCACTAGATGTGAAAAATATGACATTTTTTAAACTAAAATTTCAGGGCTTAAATTCAAAGTAATGAAGGAAAGAAGATTAGTAATAGAACCTAAAAATTGGAGTAGGCAATCTCATGCATCATGAACTTGTTTAAAAGCAAAAGGGAGGGATAAAAACCTTATTATAATTTTCAAGGCTTGTTTTTCACAATTTGAACACTGAAGTTCAACTAATTTCAGAGACCATCTTGGAAGAAGTTTCATACACAAACCTTCTTTCCTGAAAGGAAATAAGACAGCTGAAATACACCTACAGAGGCCAAATTATAGATACATCTGATTCATTCTATCTCAGTAAGTAGGGAATAGGTTTCAGCTGTCCTTGAAACTCAGCTCTTCTGAGCCCAGGAAATTTTTTTTTCTAGCATTAGAGCAATATTTGTTTCTCACTGTGTTTTAGAGTTAATACTAGCTTATTTTCTCCATAATAAATTACTTTCAGATGTAGCATGAAATAAAAGGAAATAGTAGGCCAAGCCATAATTCAACCCAACACTCTTATTCTTACACTTGTGTGAGCTTTTATTGGATCTAGTGAAAAGATTAATTATTTCTTTTATTATCCTGTTTCCAATTTTGTGGATCACTTCATACTAAACTGAAGACAAACTCCTATATACTCCTTATGCCCCCTTTGTATGCCAAAGCCATATTTAAGAGTGGAAAAAAGAAACTACGATAAAAGTAAACAGAGCTTTAGGGAAGCTTTTTCTGAGTAAAGTGTTGTTTGCTTATTGGTTTGTTTATTTATTTTTAATTTTATAACAAGATGAAATATAAATATAAGTTAAACAGTGACCCTGGAACTTTTTGTAATGTTCTGCAGGGCACAAACCAACCACCTACTAGGGATGTTTTTTCCCTTTTGAAATTCTCTTTAAATAATATTTTTTAAATCAGTTATTAGAAATTGAGTGAATTAGAGATGTAAATGATATGGATATGACCCCCTTTTATTGAATTATGTATATGCAGGAGTTCTTGAGAAATGCAAAATGACTAATGATTTCATGGCTGATCATTATTACAGGATGATTTCAGGCTTACAGACATAACTGTCAGTTGGGTTATTCTCACCTTGAACACTGTGCTGTAATTTAGGAACACTGCCCCTGAGTGGCAGCAGCAGATGTCCATCAGGTTGTTCTAATAGGATGTCAGAGGCCTTCCTTGCATTTCCAAAACATGTCCCATGCTCTTCAGTCTCTCATCATTCTGTTTCATTTATAATTGGATTTCATATGGCTGTTGTGATAATCAAACTACAGTAGATTATGTTAATCAAATAGTTACATTAAAATATGAAGAATCCCCAAATTCAAAGATGGTAGTTTGGAGAAGACTTTAAAAAGAAGATACATACCATGGTAATCCTCTGTGTCTTTGACACTAATACTTTTGCTTAATTAGTTTATTCTAAACCCAATCCAAAGGTGAATATATTAAAATGCTCATATAAACTGTAATAATTACTGTTGAAACTTAGTGCTAAAACAAATCAGCTATTTGTCTACCATTACAGACATACTGTGATAGGATAACCAAATATATTTTGCCATCTTCTAAAATTTGTTTCAAAGATTATTTCCCTGAGCATTTTAACATCAAGTTAATCATCTCTCTTAACCTCTCACTTTCTCTATGGAGAAAAAGAAAGAGAGAGACCAGTTATATTCCTCATCATTTAGAGTGTGAAATTGCTATGCATTTTCCTTGAAACAGAGAAGAAATTTCTCACTTGTCATTCTTGGTCCATCTAATCTTATTTTATTTATAGATGTAATGCATACAAATTATTGATGAAAATGCAAACAGAAATTCAAATTATAGACTCAAATATTAAAATTTTACCTCCTTTCACTCATCCTTAATTTCATTTCTTCTCATTAAGTCACCATTTGGTATGTATTTTTTTGACACCACTTTCTATACAAATATATATATTTTTCTTTGTATAAAATACAGGATTAGACTACATATTATTTGGAAACTTGCATATTTCACTGCTAAGTTCAGTTATAGATTGAAAAAATAACTAAAACCTTCTCTCTTAGTGAGTTCTTAAGCTATATTTACTTGCAAATGTGTAGGTTACTTTTTAGTTAACCTTTTCTTGGTTTCCCTTAGCTAACTTTCTGCTTATTCTTAACAAAGTGTCTTAGAATATTGAAAGTGACTAGATACATAGGACACTATAATTTTGGTTGAAAAATTTAATAGGCATTTGGACAGTAAACAGGTTGGTTTATTTCAACATACATAATTAGGTATGAAAGGAGAAGAAAGTTCTTACCAATAGCACTTTGTAAATTGACTACATGTAGACACACACACACTCACACAAACACTCTAAGCCAACACATACTCACAAAAACACATGCATACAAACATACAAACTTGCACAAACACATACATCCTCAGTCGGGCTACAAATTTATGAAAAATATCTACAGGTAACTAACAATGGTACATTAATTTTTATACAAATGTCTTTCCTCTGTATTTCTATTGCAGTTTGCTATTAAAATAGACCAAGCTGAAGATTTCCTCCAGAATACTCATGAGTTTGAGAATGCTGAGTCCTTAAAATCACTTCTTCAGCTTCATGAACATCATACTAAAGGCAAGAAATACGTTTATTTTTCACATAAGTGTTTAGAGATTTTAAAAGATATTAATATGGGCTGGGTGCGGTGGCTCACACCTGTAATCCCAGCACTTTGGGAAGCTGAGGTGGATGGATCACAAGGTCAAGAGATTGAGACCATCCTGGTCAACATTGTGAAACCCTGTCTCTACTAAAAATACAAAAAATTAGCTGGACATGGTGGCGCGTGCCTGTAGTTCCAGCTATTTGGGAGGCGGAGGCAGGAGAATTGCCTGAACCCAGGAGGCAGAGGTTGTGGTGAGCTGAGATCACGCCATTGCACTCCAGCCTGGGTAACAAGAGCGAAACTCCGTCTCAAAAAAAAAAAAAAGATGTTAATATGAGAATGCTTATGTATGACAGTGTAGCTTTAATTTATTTGTGTATACCTCAACTTGTTCTCTAAGAAAAGTTAAACAAAGCTTCATTTTTAGTCATCTTGTGAAAGAAATAACTAGCTGTAAATATTCTGAGAGCATGGTAGAAGACGTGCCTCCAGGAGATTCTGTTGTTTGGTCTGCTAAAGTTTAGCTCCCGAGTACAGAGGCCATTTCTACCTTGTTCATCCCTTTACCTTCAGCATCTAGCAAGGTGCCTGGCCACATGGTAGAGCCTCAAGAAATATCTCTTAGTTGAATAAATTACTGAATTCAGTGAATGTTCCTTTTAAGGGTCAATGAATACAGGTCATTCTTTAAAAAGTAGGTCTGGATAAACAAAATTCCTCTTTCACTAGTGCGGTTAAAAAAAATAGTGAATGTTTCCAGATGAAAATCTAACAAAACACTCTACAAAAAAGATTTTCAATTCCCTCTGAACAACTAAAAAGATAGTCTAGTTGTTAACCAACAATTTGTATGCCAAAGCCTTTCTATAAGAATTTGGTGTGGGCCAGGAGCGAAGTCGGGAAGGCATTTGTGGAAGAGTAGTAGTTATCTGTCATCTTTTGCTGTGGAAGGAGGTTAGATATATAGATAGAAACAACCATTACTTTTGTTCCTAATATGTCTTCTAATTTTACTGCCAAATAGAACTGGGTCTGAATAGAAAGCTTCCTGAATTCATTTGTCACAGTTCTAACTTGACTTCTAGCTACACCGGCCTGTCATTCTGGACTGGACCAAAAGGTGTTTTAAAGTCACAAATAGATTTTGTGTTTATATTACCCTTCAAAAGACTCTAGATAATAGATCATTATGATAAATTACTTATCACAACTTTCTAAAACTCAAAGATTAAAGGACTCAATCTTTCCTATGTAAATTCTTATGAGATCCTACCAAATACATATATATAATTTCCACTGATTGTTGTCCTATAGGACCTATCACTAACAGGGATTATAAACAGCATCAAAAGTTTGTACTTTTAAGCAGCAGTTGCCCATTATTATACAGTAGTCGTAATCTATCTAGGTCCAGAGGAAATGAGTAGAATCACATGAAATCCCTGATAAGAGACTGGAAGGTAACAGATAGGTTCTGTGGTCTTAATTCAGTCTTCTTCCGACCAACATGATCATCACACAGCAGTTTTACCTCCGGAAACCTGACAGGGTTAGATGCTATTGTTGAAAAGTTTCAATACTGAGGCAATCAAATGAAAGCAGTCTCCAGAGGGACTGGGGGCTTGTAGAAGCAGGGGTTTTTCTATAAATACTTGGGAATGGAGCTGGCAGGGGGAACGTAGCCTTAATGCTGTTTTGTTTTTGCTACTGCTGTTGGCTCCTTCAAAGTTCCTAGGATCTGTGGCACTGTGGGCCAGTTTACATGAGGCCCGTGCTGCTTTGCTCGCACTTCTCTGGCATCTAGCTGACAGTGAGACTGATGTCTTGCTTTTCAGGGATCAGCCTTCGAGAGTCCAGTGGGCCTCCTTAGTCCAAAGAGCTATATAAAAATTCTAGTGGAAGACAGGAAACATAGTTTATTTTTGTAATGAAAAAATATTCTACCATCTTGGTAGCATATTTATTGTGAGAGTTTGTGCCCTTCTGTGTAATACTTGAAACACAGAGATGACAGAACTGTGGTCAGGATACCTCGTTCCCAGTTCATGTGCCCAGTGGTGGCTTCAAAAGTTTTTGTTTTCATAAAACAAACAAACAAAAAAATGGGAGTTGATGCCATTTATTAACCAACTAATTCAATGGGATATGATTAAGATTAGCTGATTTGAAATGCATAGTTGAGGGTGAAATTCTGATTGTTTTAGTTAAGGGCTTCATATCTATTATCTTTAAATTTAAGGAAATAAAATATGTCTGTAAGTGCAGCTAGCCATTCCAGTAAGTTTCTGAGATGTTGATCAGTTGAGTAGTACAAAACATGAGTGTTAGGATGACAAAAGCTGGAAAAACTATAGTCACACTTACCCCTAATAGTCACTTTATTTCAATTAGCTTCACCTATGCTTTCTCCTTATTCAGCAATGCTAAGGTTCCCTTAGATGTAAAAAACTTACTCTGTAACATTGTGGAAGTCAGAACCAGGTTGATGTTTCTGCCTCCCAGAATGTTTCAGAACAAGTTGGTTCCCTCCACCTCATAATAATCCTTGCTTGAAACAGAAAGAATAATATACCCTCTCCAGGCTTCTCTCTTTTGAGTTAAACTTACTTACTTAGTTAAAGTTTTTTTCTGGCAAATATGGTTTCCAGATTACTTACTGGCCTAGTTGCCCTCAATCCAAGAACATATAATTAAACACTGTTTTCTGAACCCATAACCAGGTGAGAAACCCAGGGCCATGTGTCATGGTAGTACATGGCTCTTTTTCTCAGGAAGCCAGCAGTTTAGCAGGACATGTACACACTTGGTGACTCCCTCTGTACTTTCTGTGGGTACTTCAGTACATCACTTCACACACTGTGTGGTAATCATTTATTTTCTTATTAGTCTTCATCATTAGCTTGTGAGACCCTAGATCTCCAAAGCTGAGAATAGTATCCAACCCAAAGTATATTTGTTGGGTGTTATTTGCACATAATTCCATTGTAGAACATGGCAGCACGATGCAAAAGTGAGCAACAAATGAGGTCTAAAGGGACATTAAAGAGAAGAAAAAGCTCCCAAGAAGGACAACTGTACCGTCTTGTTTTCTAAGGGTCTTCTTAAAATGAATGCAAGAACTGAGAAGCTACATCACAGAAGGATCATATATTATATGAATAATATATTACTTCTTTTTTCTTCTTAGATGTCATATATATCTTAAACCTAGCTGGGGGCCCATTATACTATTATCTCTATTTTTGTCTATATTCAAAAATACCCATTAATTATGTTCAAAAGAAACCATCCCACTGAGAAACATTTAGAATATTTTTAAAGTATTAGGAAGCAATATCATACATGATCTCAGGACCAAGATGATGACCTTGATGCATTTTAGAAAGTCCTCATTTGGAAAATTTGTTTAACAAGCTATAAACCTATCTACCTTGTGTATACCTATTATACCATCTTTAATTGGTTATTTATACTTAATAACTATGGCAAACTATAGAGGTATTAATGTAAAATATGATGTATTTTATAAACTTTAATAACTTTTTAGATAGACTGAAAATTAATTAAAACAATGAAAATTTCTCAAGTTCACATCACAAGGTATTGTGTCAGTAACTAGGATTTTGTATGTGCTGTTATACAATCTTTAAAATAAATTGACTGTAAAGATGTTCTTGAAGGTCGCATTATATCTAGACAGTTTACCCTTGAGAAAAAATACATCACTTTGTAAGATCAACTGATGGAATAAATAGCTAGGAAAATGTAAACTGTAAAAAAGTAAGATATAAGAAACTGACAGAAAGATTGAGGGAACTGGCAGAGGAAACTGAGGGAAGAATCCATCCAACTCAGCAGCTATCGTGGTAGCAGGTAACAGACTGACTCAGCCTGGGTACATTTCATAAGTTAGCACTGGCTCAGGAGGCTGTATCCCTGGTAATACTTTGGTAGTGGTTATACTATTTTTGGCAGAAGGTGAAACAAAAAACCAGAGAAAAAATGTGAATTGTAATTTTGGCTAATTGTACATATTCTCATGAGAACCCGAACAGCTTGACCATTAGTCTGTAATATACTGAGGGCCTAAAGTTGTGCCTCCCTCTCTCATTTGCAAAGTCTAATGCGCAAGAGTGAGTTATAGGAAGGAAGGAAACCATGTGGAGACCTTGCTCCCTTCCCAAACTTCTCGTGTGTGAGGTTGTGTGTGTGTGTGTGTGTGTGTGTGTGTGTGTGTATAGCTGTTCACAATATCATAACAAGCTCTTCAAACACAAAGGAAAATGACTATTTCTATATGTAAAAGGAGAATCCATCATACTTCTTACTTCATTAAGGCTATAGAACTTAAACTCTTCAGTCTGATAGGCAAGGCCTGATGTAAGCTGCCTTTACCTCGTTTCTCTAGTTGTGTCTTGTACCTCCCTGTAAGAACTTGTTTTAAACAGATAGGTCTTTTCCTGAGCACCACCCCCAGCCCCATCTTGTTCATGTTTGCTTTCATTACTTTTGTTTTTTTTTCCAAGAAATTGACTTCAATTATAATGCTCTCCCTGACTTTTCTTATGTTATTTACATTCTCCTGTCCTGACCTGTTTGAAGTCTGTGGCTATTTTTGTCGTTTGTTTCTTTGCGTTGTTGACTCAGAATCAAATTGCCCAGGGCGCATGGCCACATTCTCCTCATTCTGAACAGATACTACTAGCTAAAGTTTTACAAGACAGATCTAGGTCATGTGGAATAAACTACTTTAAATTATTTCCTTTTCATCTCAAAATGTCTTTTTATGGTATATTCACTTATCTCATTCTCTCCTGCTTTCCAAAAAAAGGTGTCAATTGAAAGAGAAACTGGCCCAACTACCTCAGCCTACATCATTGCTGTGTAATAAACTGTCAAAAGTTAGAGTGCTGAAGTTGAGCATGTTCCTATAGTGGAAAGAACACTGAGCTATACTAATCACAAGTCTTGGGTTTCACCACTGCTTCAGCCCGTTTTTATTAGTGTCAAGCTTGGTGAGGTGCTTAATCTTGAGTGTTCACCACAGTTCCCCCAACCTGAAAATAAAATTAAAAAAAAAAAAAACCAGAATATTTGACCCTATTATTATCTCAAGATACAATCTCGTGTCTCAAAGATTGTCCTGCTTGTTGCCTTCCTACTTCTCAGCTCACTTTCTTCTCACTTCTCATTGCCTTCTCACTTCTCAACCTGGTAACTTGCCTTCTGTTTCCATCACAAAACCCAAATCTTCCTCTCAACTTCTCTTTTTTATAACTTTAGAGAACTTCTGATCTCTAATATTTGTAGCTCCCTCAATTTTTCCCCCTCTTTCAAAACATTTGTTCTCACTCAAGCATTCTACAAAAATGATTGCAAATCTCCTGCGCCAGTCACCGTGCTAAGTGCTGGGGATGCAGTCACGGTCTCTATCCTCATGCTACAATGGAGCCTAGTGGCAAAGATGGACATTAAATGTAAGAGTATTTAATCCTGTCTGATTTGTCCTTTGAGGAAGTGACAGCTGACATGGAGTATAAGTATAGTAAAGGTAAAGAAGGAGGGGGCTGAGGAGAATGGTGTCCTTGTGGGTGGGCATAGCGAAAGTTCAGGGTCAGGAGGGAATATAGCATGTGTGAGGAATTTAAAGAAGATAAGAATGAACAGTTGAGAGATTGAGACAATTTAAAAAGGAAGGAAGAGGCTAGACCATGCCAGCCTAGTCATCTACATTACGGGGTCTGTCTTTAATTTTAATGTAAAGGGCCATTGTTGTAAGTGTGTTTATATGTGTGTGTGTACATATACATGCCTGTGTGTGTGAGAGAGAGGAAAGAAGAAAGCGAAAGAAAGAAAGCAAGAGATGTTATGTTTAGAAAAGATCTCTGTGGCTAAAGTCTGGAGAATTGATGGATGGACTGGAGAGAGGATGCAATTAAGAGAAGACTGCATGTCCAGGCAACAGATGACACATTCTATGGTGAGGATGAAGAGAAGTAGACAGATGCCCGAGATAGCACATAGAATCAGCAGTTCTTGATGATGGCGGGATATGGGGGAGGGATGTCATGGACAACTCCTTCATTTCTGCATGATGGACAGTGGACAGTTTCCTAACTGCTCCTTCAGTTGATCCCCACGTGTAGATGCTCCTCAATGTGCTATTCTCAACTCTTTCTCCCTTGGCAGTTCTTCAATGTTTAGGTTTAACATCCCTGTTCTACAAGATGTTACTCAAAACTACAATGCTATTTACCCCAGAGATGACATACTGGTGGCCCATTTAGCAGATATATATGCTTCTTTATCTTGTGGTATTTTTTAATTAAAAATATGAATTATGAAAGATTTAAAAGTCAGAACTCTCACATAAAATCTGCATTTGAAACTCTTTCAACAATTGGAAACTCCATCAACACTGGACCCATATTCCTCATGTCAGCAGTTGGTCAGTACTGAGTGACCGCTGACCCTTTTAGGCTGAGAAGCATTTTCCACTTTGCTGTTATCCCTAACATCTGGGTACCTGGCCACCACATTCACTGAGTTTTTGTTTGGTTACCCCAGGCACTAACCTTTAAACCTCAGCTTTAGTCCAGTCCCCTCAGAATGTGGAACACTTAAGCAGTATTATATCACTGAAAACTGCAGCAATGGCAAAATTCCACACTTATTGTACTCTTTGTCCTGAATCACATAATCGCTGAACAAAGCATCCCATCAGTTGGCAGTTAGAACTGTCACAATTGTTAGGCCAAGGTGTTTGACCAATTTTTTCTTTGAAGTACTGTAGGCAGTTTCTGTTCACACATTTTAATTCCTTGCAGCACAACTTGTTTTTTATTAACATAAAAGTTACATATATTTTAAATTATGAAGAGTCTGAAGATTGGTGTATAAAAGCTTGCTAATATCATTCTTCTTTCTGATTTTCTTCTAGAACTCTTAGAACGGTCTTTAGCACTTTTAAACAAAAGTCAACAACTCACTGACTTCATAGAAAAATTCAAGTGTGAAGGACCTAATGTGAATCCCGAGTTGATTCAGGCAGCTCATAGCAGCTGTCTGAAGATTGACAGCCTTCTTGAACTTCTACAAGACAGGAGAAGGCAACTAGACAAGTACTTGAAGCAACAGTGGCAAGAATTGAGTCAGGTTCTGCAGATATGTCAGTGGGACCAACAAGAAAACCAGGTAACCCAAAGGGGCGCTGGATGATGGTCTAGCCTCAGCTAATTAGTTGTTACATGGATTACCCATTCCCTGGGTGGTTTTTCAGTCTTCATGATCAAATCCTTTGGTCTTTGGTCCAAAAGCCTTTCATCCAAACTGCCATGTTGTTTTTCCCTGTAAGTAATATAAAAACAAATATATGCATTTTTTTCATTATACTGTTGATTTTATAAATGAGAGAGAACACCTGTGGGTAGTTTTGAAAATGAATGTATTCTATTGTTGAATTCTTCCTTCCAGGTTACTACTTTTTAGACATGGGTCTTTAACATTTTGAAATGTTAATTGCAGTTTTCTTAAAAGTGGAAGAGACATGATGCTGCTGAATTGTGCTAGATTGCTGCTTATATCAGTAAAAAGTCTGTCAGCTCAAAATAGAGATAATGTTCTTACAAAAGTGGTGTGATGCCAATCAAGAAATATGACCTTGACCCATAGCTGCAGGATTAGTGGTCAGAGGGCTTCAGGGGTTGATGAGTTTGCAGGCTCATTAGAGCTCATTACTCAGGCCATGGACATAGCTCTGATGGGTTTTCAATGTGCTTGACATGCATTCCTTCTGCTGCAATCACTTGATGAGAAAAGTGGGCAGAACTCTCTTTGCTAACCCCCAACTCAAATAAGTGAGATGTTTATCAAAACACTTCTGATTGTCTTAATTCCATGTTTAAATCTGTACAGATTAAGTGGAAGGAATTTTTAGGGAGAAATCATGTGGAGGGTGGTCTCCCGGCCTAGATACACAGGAAAGAAGACTTTGTATGTTCAATAATATCGCTCCATCCAAACTGAAGAGACATTCATATAGTTGGAAGCACATATGAGTCCGGAAGAAACTGGTTCTTATTTCATGCTAGAAAAATGAGAGTTTAAATGATGATCAACTTTTCAACTAATACTTATTGAATACCTACTATGTACCAGTTCCTATCATAAGTGCTGGGGATATGCTAGACCACAAGACAGCATATCTTTTCCTCTAGGAATGTTGCTTTTTTTTTTAGAGGTGAGTGATTTTGGGAGGGGTGCTTTTTAAAAAATAAAGTTTATTTTTTAGAGCTCTTTTAGGTTCACAGAAAACAATAAGAGAAAGGTACAGAGATTTCCTATGTGTTCCCTGTCCCTACACCTGCAGTTTCCGTCTTTATCAGCATCCTCATCAGAATAGCTTGTCAGGCGGGCAGATCGCTTGAACCCAGGAGTTCAAGACCAGCCTGGGTAACCTGGCAAAACCCTGTATCTATAATAAATATATACACAAAAATTAGCCAGGCATGGTGATATGCTCCTGTAGTCCCAGTTACTTGGGAGGCTGAGATGGGATGGGTGGCTTGAGCCCAGGAGGTCAAAGCTGCAATGAGCCAATATTATATCACAGCATTCCAGCCTGGTTGACAGAGTGAGACCCTCTGTCTCAAAAAATAAAATAAAAATAAAGTTTAGGCTCTGAATCTTAAAACACTCATGTTACATTTTCTCTTGTTAACAGCAGTGACAGTGTTTGCAGTAGTTAGTTAATAAAGCTAAATGTTGTCTCTTTATGCTTGTAAGAGTACAGATCCTAGGTCTAGACTTCGCTGGGTTCAAATCCTGGCTTCACCACTTACTGGATGAGTAACAGCAATTATTTAACCTCATTGAAGCTCAATTTTCTGTAAACATATGAAAAATAATACCTACTACTATCTTAGTGTTAGCAGTTGTTACCATCATGTCTGAAAAAGATAGTGAAGCCCAAAATATTACATACTCTCCCACTCCTCGCCCCTCCAATGTCATGCTCAGATGACGACTGGTCTCAGATTGAAGACCAGTTTTATTATTTGAGTTCACAGGATGTGATAAAAGTCACTGTAATAATGTTAACAGCTACCCTTGTTTAATGGGCACTGAATTGATAGCTTAAAACAAAAAGTAGTATCTTTTTCTGCTTGTGATTTAATAATGCTTCTTTGTTAAAATGTAGAGATCACCCTCCATGTAGATGATTGCTAGTAGAAATTTGACACACTGCCACCTTCTAGACTTGTATCTGAGTATGAGCATGGTCACAGGCATACAGGCACTTTTTAAACAACTAAGCAAATAAATGAAAATAAATTGAATTAGCCTATATATACTGTATTATAACCTTTTTTGGTTAAATTGAATAAGACATAAACATATTCTGTGTCAAAAGTAGAGCAATTAATTTTAATAAGTATGTAGTATTCTGCTATTTGAATATAACACAATTTAAACAGTACTTTATTAATGAGGAAATAGAGTTGCTTTGATTTCTTAATATTATAAACAATAATTAATGCTTATTATGTTGATAGTTATATGAAGAAGGAATTACTTTAAAATTTAGGTACATAAAAGCACAAATTATCTTACCTGAGTTTTGCAGTTTTTCTGAACTTCTGTTTATTATTATTATTGTTATTATTTTTTGGAGACAGTCTCACTCTGTCATCCAACTGGAGTGCAGTGATACAATCTTGGCTCACTGCAACCTCAACCTCCTGGGTTCAAGCAATTCTTGTGCCTCAGCCCCCTGAGTAGCCGAAACTACAGATGGACACCACCACACTGGCTTTTTTTTTTTGTATTTGAGTAGAGATGGGGTTTCATCATGTTGCCCAGGCTAGTTTCGAACTCCTGGGCTCAAGTGATCTGTTGGTCTAGGCATACCAAAGTGCTGGGATTACAGGCATGAGCTACTCACTGTGCCCAGCCTGAATGTTCTATTTTAAAGTGTTGTTGATGGTACAGTGGTGAAGAATTGCAAGCAGGGACACTAAGCTGAGTGTCACTCAGTTAGTAATTTGAGTTTTATAGTTATCATGTTCCTGAATGATTTACCTGATAATTCTAGAACACATGGAACTACGTTTTATTGGAGGGCAAAGTTTTTCTTTTCTTTTTCTTTTTTGTCAGTTCCGTCTTATTTTAAGGGAACACAGGAGCTATCATACTTTATATTAATGAAGTATCAGCTTTGTCAATCATTTTAACCACTTAAGAGAAAGGGAAATTAAGTAGAGAATTAGAACAAAGATTACTGATGAATAATAATGTGGCTGTCTGAATATGTGATGTGTCTTCTCCCATAAGGATCATTTAAAAGATACATTTAGTGCTTCTTTGTTTCTGAGTGCTGTGGCCTAAGGCTTTTCAAAGATAATAGTTCAGCCAGTTCTCCTTTGGAAAAGAAATTAAGTGACCAGCATAATGGGGACTTAGGATTTACATCAATTGCAGGAAAACAGTAAATGAAAACCGCATACTTTCCTATCTTAATTCGGATGTGATAGCCTCATAAAGACAATTATAGCATGTTCTTTCATCATTGTTTTTCAGATGTAAAAATGCATGCTTGTCTTACATTTAAAGAGAAGCAGCTGACCTTTCTTTTCAGCTCCAGCAGCATCTTATTTTGCGGATAATCTGCTTCATTAATGAAAATCAGAAGCAGCTTGAAGTATTTCGTGCATAATTAATTATCTTGGCAAGAAGATTTATGAATGTAATTTTTCTCAATTGCTCCAATCAGGCATAAATGAGACAAACAAATTTATTAAAACTAAGTTATTCCAGGTCTCTGTGTACATGACAGTGTCAAGGGCATCTAGGAGAATTAAGACATATGGGTAGACAATCTCTTTTTACTACCCAGATCACATATAAGGTATACATCTTTAGGGGCAGGGAGGATAATAGAATTCACATCAGAAGGTTTCATGGTTTTATAATTTGAGTAAAATGTGTATCATAATCATGCAGTATATCCTTTGTCAGTGGGCAATTAAAATATCAGAGATGACATATATGATCATAGCCTCTGGGCACCAATCTTGTGTCTGGGGGGCATTTGTAAAACTGTGCACCCATACAGGAACATGTGAGCATATTCTCTTGTATAACTAGGATTTAGAACTTGAATGATTAAACAGCTTAAATGCATAATTTTAAAAGTCTTTCTCTGGAAGCTCCTTGACTTACCTAAGCTTCTTATCTATTGCTTGGGAAATTTTGAGATGGGGATACTAAATCTATCATCAAGAGATTTTGTGAGAATTAAATGAGAAAGTTGAGTGAAAATACTTTGAAACATTTATATCAACAAAATGTCAGTCCTGGTCCCATGATTATGATGACACATGATGAGCCTCTTCAGTTGCATTCTTGAGTGTATCTTTCATATTCCAAGAGGTGGTATTCCTGGATAAACAGTGTTATTCTCAAAAGTGGAATTTGGGGGTTGATGGAATGCGAACATGTTTTAAGGCTCGTGATGCATCTTGTCAAATTATCCTCACAAAAGTTGTTCAAATTTGACTCAACTATATGTGAGTACTAGTTCCCACCACACTGGTCAATGTTGAACATTACCTTTATTTTCATGTTTGCAAATCTGATCTTGTTATTTAAGTTCGTATTTCTTAAATCTCTAGCAATCGCATTAAAAATACATCTATTTATAATGCATTTGCACTCTCAGTAAATGTGAGCTGCTGCCACCGAAAAAAAAAAAATGTCCTTCTCTGAAGGCAGCTTTCGTACATTTACTGGATAAGGACAAAATAAGGGTTGCATTATTTTGATGACCCTGGCATCGAACAGTTGGGTCAGTAACAGGTATAAATGTCCAACTGTCATCACAGAATTTTGTTTTGGTATATAGGATGTCGCTAGAATTCTCTCTAGGGCACACCAGAGGTAAATGCAAAGGATCTGATAGTATTTGTAGAAGAAGCATGTAATTTTGAAAGAAAAAGAAACCTCTTCTAACTGGAATGTATGCTAATGACTGTTGCTTCCAATGACACTGCAGTTCAAAGGTCGAAACAGAGGGACTCTGGTGCAGATGGTATAGAGAGAAATCCTAGCTTTTATATTTACTAGCCATGTGGTTTTGGACCAGTTACTTGACCTCTGTGCCTCAGTGTCCTTTTCTGTAAAATGGGGATAATAAC